TCTCTCTCTCTCTCCGGTGTATATTTGGCCGCTTTATCGGCAGCGTGGTGCCGCCGATGATTTGTTTACAAAGAAGGCCTCGTGACGTCGTCTGCTCGGCGCCCGCCGGGCTGGCGTGATTAACTGCTTTTATTGTCACCTGCCCCGCCGTGTCAACCCGGGAGGGAGGGGAGGGGGACACATGGAGCCAGCTGGCCGAGGTGGTGGATCTGTGTTGTGTATCCCCTTCTTTTCCTTATTCTTGTGGGTTTGGGTATGCCCTCAAAGGCTTCTGCGATTCAATGCGCTCAAACCGACGTAAATCCTCGAGCCCCCTGACTGTAGGTGCTCGTTTCGTGGTGCGCGTCCTGAGAGCGAGGTTTGATTTTCTCGCTCGATTACTGCGATGCTTTAGTTGTTTTACTGTAACCCTTGTTCGCGGACTGACGTCCCACCGAAGTTGCCGGTGATTCAAGTTCATGTGAACTGACGTCTTAACCCTCATTGAAGTTGAAGTAATCTCACTCCATTTGAGTGATGCTTGGGAAACCTATCGCTCTTTCTTAGTGAGGATGTCGAATCTCCATCTTACTGAATTCAAGTTCTTTTTGTTAATAACCTCTCACATTAAGAGCACGCGGTTTCTAAAGTATCATTCAAATGGTGTTTGGAGCAAACTCTCACTCTAATTTGGTGAAGCAGCTGACTTGCATATAGGGCTCGGTTTCCGCCCCAAGTGAAATGCAACATGCGAGTAGTTTTCTCGTGTTGGCGTACAGTATTTCTCCAATACAGCCGGACCTTTGTTGGTGTTATCGTGCGGCTCGTATTGCATTTCAAAGGGCGGTCTTGTGTGGCACGTGTAGCCCTGCAGCCACGTGGGCGTTTCCGTTTCCCGCCGTAAGTTTGGAATACAGAGGAAGAGCCTCTGTCGGCGTCAAAGGGGGCTCTGTGTTCTTAGCATAGGCCGGGCGCAACAGTTGGTCAACTGAACCCGGAAGTGATCCTCACCCTCGCCAAAGATTATATGTTGTTTTTTGCCATGCCAGAACAGAGCGTCAGATCGCATTGTCCGCGTTCTTGTTTTGTTTTCGTTTTTAGGCTTGTGTGCGATGGGTAGGGCGAACGGCAGAGCCATGATCATGGCCATGATACGACCGGGCACTGATCGGATTGGTCCAGGGTCCCTGCGGCGACTTCCGCTTGTGTCATTTGGTTGTGTGTGTGTCTCCAGAGGGGAGTGGGGTATGTGTAGTGGGGAAGTCACACATCCACCATCACAGCCGATATGAGTGCAGGGGACATGGCCGTGGGTGCGGAGTGCGTTATGCGTTGGAGATAAGCCCCTGTTCCAGATGCCGTGCTTGATCTTGACCCTGGGGAAATGGGGAGGGGGGTGAGGCAGAGACCAGCATCAGCAAACTGTTATCTTGGCAGAATCCTCGTGATTTTCACAGTATTGCGGGTGGGAGGGGGGGAAGGGGCGGTGCTCTTTGTCTTTTGATTCTGTCGTTACGTGTTGATTATCTCGCCTGACCAGTGAGGAGTAGGGAACGGGAGGGGGGGGGGGAGGGTCGTCTCCTGTGCTGCTGATGATCAGCTGATCGTGGGGTCATTGAAACCGAAAGCGACGTGTTTGTCCTGTTTACCGTCCTGAGGTGCAGTGGCGGTGGTGGATGCGGCCGCCTCTGCGCGCATCGGACCAGGCCAGTCGCCGCCCCCCCCCCCTCCCCCTTTACCCGCTGCGGTAATCTTTTTACGTCTTTGCTTCGATTTCATAAACATGCAGTCATGCGTCTGTTCTAAAGGCTAACGTAAATGTCTATTTATGGAATATCTTTTCCAAAACGGTGGCCGTCGGGTCAGACAAACCATATCCTAAAAATAGAAATGTCCTGTGGTGTAACTCGTTTGTAAGTACGTATCACAAGTTTTAATTGTTTAAATTGGGCTTCTAACTGTTGAAGCGTACGTAC